CGCTGACGGGCAAGAGAACCTGGCTCAAAGAGGATTTCTACACGCGCGATCTGGACAGCCTCGAGCTGAACTTGCAAGAGGGCAGACAATTGCTGGGGGAGTCGGGCAAGGAGTCGGAATATGCCACTGAAGAGGGCTCTTGGGCACGCGCTGTGCTCGCAGCCGAGGCGGAGGCAGCCGAGTTTGATGAGACGAGCGCAATTTATAATTTCGATATATGCGGAGAATATCCGGGCAACGATGAAGCCTGCAGCAGCAATGACAGCGAAGACGAGCGACAGACTGTGGTCGAAATGGATGACGACGACGAAGATGAATACGAATTTGAATTGGACGAGGGCATCTCGGATAACAATGAGCGTACGCAGCCAACGGATGAATCGCATCACGATACGTCCGAGTGCGAGGAGGCGGAACGCAATGCGGATCGTTATGCGAATCGGGAAGCCAACGACTGGGAGGAGGTGGACAATGTGGAGGACTTTGCAGACTTCAGCCTGGACGATGGGGCTGTGGGTGGAGCCTATTCCGATCCCGATTCGTTTATCGAACAGATCTACAACGATGCCGTAAAGAATCGCAAACAGAGTGGCATTCTCAGGGACTACGAGACAATGGTGCAGGAGCAGCTGCCGGCGGATAATGCAGATCAGATCGAGTCGGACAAGGAGAAATCCAGTTCGGAAAGCGATCGCTATGCACTATGGGCCAAGACCAGAGAGCTAACTAGATCTGAAGAAGGCAACAGGCATAGAGACATAGACGTATCCATTGGTCTGCTCGAAGGCGAGCGTCGGGACTCGGAGATGCGTTATCTAGGCGATGCGCAGGTGGCTGCACGGCAGTCGACCCGCCTACGCACCCGCTATGGCTATAGCCCAAAGCTGCAGGGCGGAATTCTAGAGGATGATATTGAAGTGGATCTGAACTACAAGCCGAAGAGGGAATACAATTGGCGTAAGAACTTTAAACTGGATGACAATGAGTCAGAAGACCCCAACGTGGAGCAGTCTGGGAAGGAAGAGAAGGAGCTACAGGAACAGGAACAGTTGGAGGAAGGGGAACAAGAGCAAACTCTGAATGAGGAACAGTTAGAGATGCAACTAGAGCTGGAGCAGGATCTATACGAACCGGCACCAAGTGGTGAATTGGATCTACGTCGGTATAGTCTGGGAGGCGAGAGCATAACCCTCTTCAGCCGCAGTCCAGAGCGCGAGCTGTTGTCCGTTGTCCTTGAGGAAACGTTGCCAGATCAGGAAAATGAGATCAGAGAGGAAGCAATCGATCACACGGAAGCTATAAATGCTGCGAACGAAGAAGCCCTTGAGAAACCCAAAAAGAAGAAGAGCAAGAAGAAGACACGCAAGGGCTCTAAAACAGAAGAGGAATTGCGGGACGAGAACGACTCAGACACGAATCAACAAATGAATCGACGCGGCTCTGCGACCAGAGAGGATGGGGATACCCTTACGGAAACCCCTAAGCGCAAGGTGCGTTCGCGACGTAGCTCCAAGAGTAGCGCCACCAATGAGGAGGCCAACGCTGGACTCTTTTCGCCACGCAGCAGCATTGGCTTTGTAGCCGAGGAAACTTTGGGTGGCATTGCGGAGCTTGAGCCAGCACAGAAAAAGAAAACGAAGAAGCGCAAGAAGTCAATCAAAGAGTCCACAGAGCAGGAGTCTAGCGTGGCTCCAGACCTCTCCAATGGCCCAGACATTGATGCAGCCTTGGCCGAGGCGCTGGCCAAGATTGCGCCCATTACGGTTTCGGCCTCAACGAATCTAACGCCAGCTTCGACGCAGCAGAATCTCTTGTCCAGCCTAAGTGCCGGGCATAGCTTGTGCCTGACTCCCGCCTCATCTTTCGAGGAGCCGCCGAGCTCCGATTTGGTTACTAACAATGCACCAACAGCTGCGCCTGCTCGCTCTGTTGTTGACACCTTTGATCTGATCAAAGATGCCAATTTCTATCCGCTTTTCTAGGCAACGATTATTCTATAATTTTTCATTTGATTTCAATCTTTATCTGTTTCTTATAGACATGTTCATAAGTCCCACATCCAAATCGCGCACGCTGCATAAAACAATCCACAAAAAAAATCAAAAGCAATCAAACTGTTATGCACCCAGTTCCAGTTCCAGTACCAGTACCAGTTCCAGTTCCGCTAGACTGAGGGATCTTTCACTGTATTATATTAACGACCAGACCCAGAATCGCACGAACGATCTATAAATCGAATTGAGAGCAGGATTATTGTTATTATTATTATTATTTATTATTTATTATGATATCTGTTAGTTTATCGATTACTGCTGACAATAAATATGAATATATGAATATATAAATATATATTTGTAAATATATGTGATCGATTCGGTTCATTCAGAAACTGCATCTGACGCAATGCTCGCCCCGGCTCGACTCAGCTATAAATATTTCTCATCTATTTGCATCTGCGTGTTTTCTCCTTTCTCGCGTCTCACTTCTCATCTCTGCCAGAAAACATCGGACTGCAGAAATGCCCTAGCATTGAGATCATTATACTCATTCACGAAAGTGAATCAGTATATTGGTTTTGTGCAATGTCCGTCTTGCTGTCCGTCCGTCTGTCCGTCTGTCCGTCTGTCCGTCTGTCCGTCTGTCCGTATGAACGCAATCTATTTCGGCGCTATTGAAGCTAGAGACTTGAAATTTGGATAGTTGAGTTACTGGTAGCCTCCTCTATCGATTCCCCAAAAATAATTTTTACGCCTCTTTAGGGGCGTGGCATATCGAAAAATACCCTGTAATTTTCACATTTTTTTAGGGTAAGCATTCAAACTTTGCAGTTAGGGTAACGTTATCTCTTTCTAAAAACTGACCAAAAATGAGGTGTCTACGCCCAGCTGGGGCGTGGCAAATCGGAAAAACCTGTATATTCTACAGTATTAGAACGAAACTTAACTAYTAAATTGTTGAKKGGATGTGAATGAGTATTCCGCAGTCGGTAACGCCCGACTGCAACGTTCGTACTTGTTTTGTTATCCAAATGGTCGCAATGCATGCGCCAAGTGCACTGACATTCAGCCAGAGACAATTGGCCATATAATATAAATATATATATATATACGGTATATAGTCTATATAGTTGATGTAGTATATCTCGTATATATCGTATATATATACCATATGCTTGGCCCAATTTGCATTTGGCTCGTTTCAGTCATATGATGTCATCGATTCGCGTACCAAATCTCTTGGGTATTGTGCGAATAGCTCAGTTGATGGCCTTATTCTATTGCTCTTGTCAGCCAAGTCAGGGAATACTTAAAATGTCATGTTTTAAAGATCTTTTTAAGTAGTCATAATACCAGCCATTATTGCTATGGTCCATGCATATAGAATTTCAGTTTATTATTACTAATAAAATTACATTTTGTGATGTTCTATGAATGTGTATGTCTGACCATTGCTTGGCATACGAGATAAATCTCTTTAGTATACTTCCTGATTGATTTAAAGTAGACTTGATAAGTATGATCACTATATAAACTGTACTCTATATTTTATAAATACTACACTAATACATAAATTGGGCTTTATATTAGGTAAGGAAGTTCAGTTTCTAGTTTGTAAGGTCGATTTGGTTTTTGATCGACCCATTGACATATATTGCTGATATATTTACTATGCTAGGTAATATCGATTTTTAATTTTAGGGACACATTTGTTATTCAAGCTCCATTTTTCTAGAGTCAACATATATTATATGTATATTTATTATGTTCATTCTAAATAGCTTATCTATCAATGAAGATGATCACATCTTTGGTTATGCATGAATAAATATTTATTAAACTTAGGCTTATTAATTTTTGGGTAGGGCATTTGAGCAACTCCCCTCTCTTAAGTCAATTAATCCACAGATTAAATCTCGTTGACAGACACAATAACTCTTTAAAAGATTATGCAGTCTCAATCAATAAATCGCATTGCTTTTATAACTATCTCGATCTATCTATCTTTCTATGCACATGCAATTGAAATATCTTATAGTTGAATACCTAGCATATTCATATATTTTATTATCAATATCGTTTAAAGATCAATCTAATTATTATTTGCAATGCGCCTAAAAGCATGCAATCAAAAATGTCAATTTATAGATAAAATAGCACAAATAATAATTTTAGCTTTCCCAATGAACAACTCGAATTTGCTTTGATGCAAAGTGTTTTGTTTGGGTTTGCTTGACTGTGAGAGCTATTCAGCTCTGTCTATGCCGCTGAAATAATGCTGTCAACTATCTTATGTCATATCCTTTGTCAAATTAGGCGCTGCGAAATCATATTTCTTGGTGACAATTCAAAAGAGATTTGCGCCAAGTCGAGTGGGTGAATTTCCGCGCTAAAATACTTATGACAACAAAACACAGAATCTATGTCACTCGCATGATTTGTTTACGCAGCTCACTTTGCCGCCACACTTTGTGGACCTGTATGGGGGGTCTCGGCTCTTCAAACTGTTTGCCATTTGTTCTTTTGTATTTGTATTAATTTTTTTTTCGGTTTGTTTTTTCTTTCGGCTGCTCGTACAGGGCCTTTTGCATTGCGTAATCTGGATGTACGTAGCTGAAATACTGTATATATGTATATATATATATTGGCGTACATATGGTTCTTGTTGCACTAAGAAAACATGCGAAATACGTTTGCCAAAAAGTCTTATTCAATAGTGTGTCTTTGACATGATTTCATTTTTCCTGGCGTACTTAAAAATATTTTTCTCTACAAATTTAATATTTTTTTCAAAAATACCTACAACAGCAAATGCCAAAGGGGTAGATTAGTGTAGCTAGAAAAGTCTATGATTAGGTAAACCGATTTGAGCTATTTAGGGTATTTAGTCGTCGGCTAATTGTTTGTATATCTGCAGAGCTTGAATAATAAATTGAATTTGTTGTCGAAAACGAAACACCTTTGTGGCCAGCTTTTCCAATTTTTCATGAATATGTATATATTTATATACACATACATATATATCTGCTCCGTAGTTGATTTTTATTGATGTGTATTTCGGTTCCAACCCGCTTGACCGCAGAGAATAATATAATTAATGATGTTTTGTGCCGCGTGCAAGAGATGACCAAATGCCATTTTAATAGTCGATCTATTTATAAATCGACAATTCCTAATGGATAATCACAATTGGAACCTATTTATAAACAAACTTCAACTTGAACTTTTGGCCTCAAATGCAGATGTAGATTCGCAGCAAAAAACTGTTCAAGTTTTCCATAATTTTCTGCTCTTTTTGCTGCTCATAAACTTGCAATATTTTAATAAAAATAAATGAAAAGCTGGAAAATTTATGAATTTATGACCCAATTAACGCTTCGAGTGTTGAACGTGAAACACGCCAAGTTTTATCAAAGATTCGCGAATTGCATTTATTTATAGACAAAAATGAAGAGGAAAAAAAAAAGACGAGAGCAGAGAATATGAATTGTAAAATGAAAAATAAATAAAAAATAAAAATTAAAATAAAATCATGCAGAGATTGCATTTCACTTTGCTCCATTGCTCTTGTCTGCTGGCGCTGCTGCATTAATAGCTGCAATTATTTATATATATACGAAATTATTTTGAATATATGTATATTCATATTTTGTGTCTACATGGACTCAATTATAAATTCTCTGTGTGCCCCAAGAATTTATACAGAATATATTCGTATTTTTGTTGCTTATAATAAAACTAACTTTTACTACCTTGGTTAAATGTAGAAAAACATAATAAAAGCAGCTTTTAGTGCGTGATTTGATGATGATTGTACCTGTCTTAAAATTTTATAATGTATTTTGTTTATATTGGGTGAAAATTGTTTGATTGCTATGGGTTGTATATTGAATATACTTTAAAGCTGATCAACGTTTTGTTTGGAAAATGATCTCTGATGGGCTCTTTATATATTATTATTAAAATTCTTGTTTAATTTTTGTCTAAAGAAAAAGAAAATGATTTGTTTTATGTTTATATACTCTTAGTAAAGGTATTTTTTTTACCAGAAGTTCTTGATCTTTTTACAAGTTGCTCAATCTAATCAGTTATATGTCTTTTTTTTATTTCCAGAGTATTTTTCTGACTCCATATTAAAAGTTTGAGTAGAAGTAAAATTTTTTTTTAAGATTGCAATTCCAATGCATTGGTGGAAAAACAGTACAGTACAGTACAGTTTCCTACAACAGAACTTTAGCATAACATTAACTTAACATAACTTTATTTGACCTAACACAATTTTTTTTTTACATAGAGTTAACATAGCTTGCCCTTTGTTCTGTTAGGCATTCTAAATATCATTTGATTCCCATTTTCTCGTACTTTCTATTTGCCTGAACTCTTCTAAGTAATGCCAACTGTTTTTTTTTTTTATAATACGTGTATTTAATTAAATCATACAACCTGACTATGTGGGCTCAGAGTTTTTTTTTGCTTGCTCCGTCTGCCTACGTTAAACGTAGCTAAGCACGCAATATTTTTGCCTCTCTACAGAGATTTTAAGGTAAAAATTCTGATGCAAATGTAAATGCTGTTGTTGTTCATCTTTTTTTTGCTGTTGTTAGCCTTGTCGGACTTGTCTGCAAATTGGCTGCCTTTAAAATGTCTTTTTTTTATTGAGACAACAGCGAATATCTAACTAATAGAGATTTCGACTTGATGGGCAACGCTATTTACCTTGGACGCTTGCCCTTAGCTTGTCACCGGCCAAATTCGCTGCACACAAATATTTTTTTTATGAAATATATGTACGTATATGATGATACATTCATATTGTATGTCAAGAGAGATTTTTTTTATTCGATTTTCCAGTTGGAAATTCCTTCCACTGCAGCTGTTTGCAATTTCGCATTACATTTTCCACTGGTATTTTAATGTGCACAGACAGAGCTGTGCCAAAATGCTGTAACACATTTTTTTCGGCGGGGCTGGGGCTGGGCGGGGGGTGGCCTAAACTGATATTAATCATATAGTGTGCAGCCCACGCGATATTTACTGATCAATTAAAAATTCTATACGGCTGGATGTTGCATGTGTGGAGGCAAAAGCTGCTGCAGACAGAGCCAGACAGACTCAAAGAGGAATTTATGCTATCCAAAAGTTGTGGGAGAGTGAGAGCTTGAGTGGGAGAGAGAGAGAGGTTGTGCGTGTAGGTGTGTGTGTGTGTGTTGGTGACTTGTGTGTCGTGTGCACAAGCGCCAACAACAAAGGAAAACTGAATTTTCCGAAAATCTCTCTTGCTGCGCGTGTGTGTAAAATGACGTGTATGATAGCAGCTGCTGCAGGTGTGTGCCACACGCACACACACACACGCATACATCCAACATTTATTGATTGTATTTATAGATGCGTGCTTGATTTATAACAAACAAAATTGCAAACTTGACTTGATTCCATAAAGTTGCCAATGATCAAATATTGTCTAAGGCAACAAGCAACAGAGCACAACTGATCGCGCACTCTCTCGCTCTCCCTCTCTCCCTCTCTGCCTCTCTGTCTCTCTCTGTATTGTTGGGCTCTCTCTGTTACGCTCAGCGCACTGCTGCTGCGCTCTGCGGCACTCCCCGAGACTTTATTTATACACTCGCCTCTGGGGGCGAAACTAGATACACGCGAGACTTTTCCTTCTTATTAGACTGTTTCAGTTTCTATTTTATTTCTGAGTTCTTTCGAAAAGATTTCGAATATTTTGTGAAAGAAACGCGTCAGTTGGCATCACGACTCGGCAAAGTTCAAAACGTTTCGCGAAAACTTTTACGGCTAGCCTCAACTTTTAGTTTTCTTTTTTTTTTATTTGTATAGGGAAAGTTCAGTCGGTCACTAGAGTGCAGAATTTTGTTGGCTGGGGACTTTTTTTGAGTTTAGAATTTTGGAGATTTTTGGGCTTTGAGTTTTGAGTGCGGCACAAAATGGCGGACGTGGAAATTATGCAAACGATGACGGAAGTCAAGAAAACGAAGAAGGTCAAGAAGACTTCAAAACGTCGCGAATCCGAAGTGCAAATCAGCGAGGTGGATGCCACCAACGAGGAAAGGGGGTAGGTGGAACGTGTTACGTGTGGTTCAGTACAGAAAGCAGATGCACAATTTTTGAGTATAGAGAAAAAACATACCAAATGTCCAGTAGCATGGTATTTTGGTATATTTTTTAGTATTTTGGATAATTGTTTCTTTCATTTGTCTCTGCTCGTCTTTTGTATCGTATACCCGTACATCATTCGATCTATTCGAAATTCGAATACTCTATATTTCTCATGTACATTTATATATAATTATATATCTGAAACGATCACAATTAAAAACTATCCAAAGTACTCGCATAATAATATCGAACGACACGTTTACTACCTTCTTTCCTCGGCCAAACTGTTTACTAAAAGGTACCCAACATAAAGCTGTCGTTGTCTATAAATGTCTATAAATGTCTACACACACACCACAAATAGAAAAACCAACAAGAAATCTACAAACAACTACAACAGTAACTACAACAACAACAACAACAACATACACTGAACAACAAACTAAGCAAACAAAACAAATAAACTGAGAAACTGAATAACAAGTGAATACACACATTATATATTGAGTATATACTATGCCTACCCAGTGAATATACTATATATACATAAATATACATCTCGCCTATGCGAGCAACAACAACAACAACAAAAACATTTTACACTGACCCACACGCAATTTGAATATTCCAATATGGACTCTATCCATTACTACTTCTCTATGTTTTATCTTGATCGAGATCTATTTGGTTTGGCTACATCGTCGTGTGTCCTTTTTGCAGTTAATTTTCAGTGGCGAATACACAAAGGCCATGGACAAGGACTGGCATTCGGGACACTTCTGCTGCTGGCAGTGCGATGAGAGCCTAACTGGACAGCGTTACGTCATCCGGGACGATCATCCCTATTGCATCAAGTGCTACGAGAATGTGTTCGCCAATACGTGCGAGGAGTGCAACAAGATAATTGGCATCGATTCGAAGGTGAGCTTAACTAAACTAGAGCGAGATCTTAAAGTAGATAGTAATAGATTGAAGTAGATAGTAATAGATTAATAACCGCTGGATTGCAGAGATTAGAAATAATCTTTAAGCAAAATATTATACAAAATTCGGAGCTAAGACTGAATTAAATTTAATAATCTGTTTGTCAAATAGATCATTTTCTATATTTGTATGGATTTTAGAAACAGAAATAAAATTTAAATTAGAAATAGATCATCTCAAGTGTGTATTTTCGTATTTTCACAAAATTTTTTAATTTAGATAAACTTATGGCAGAACGAATTGGACGCGGCAAACTAAATAAGGCATTCACAAATTCTTTTCAATTTTATTTAAATATATGGATCTTGTTTGCTTAAAATTTTGTGTAGCTTTAATTCCTATAATTTTCTGTTGGCTGTAATGTAATAATAAAACCGAGAAAGATAATCTTAGAATTGAGATTATTTTGAATTTTTTTTTGAATACATTTAAGTCATACTTCTCAGATATTCAATATAATGTCATAAGTTCTAATGCTAAGAGTTATTATAGCGAACATAATTTAAGACGTTTTAATACAGTTCAATATATTATCAAAGACTTAGTCTATCATAGGATCTTCTGTATTACCAGAGACTACTATAGCTTAGTAGCTAAAGATACTACAATAATCTCTAATATTTAATAAGCAATATCAACCTAGCTATAATTTCTTTCCCTTTATCAATATCTATAAATTGATCTGTATATTGAAATATTGTTGCCTCCTCCCCTCTACAGGATTTATCGTACAAAGACAAGCACTGGCACGAGGCCTGTTTCCTCTGCTTCAAATGCAATTTGAATCTGGTCGACAAGCAGTTCGGAGCGAAGGCCGATAAGATCTACTGTGGCAACTGCTACGATGCGCAGTTTGCGTCCCGTTGCGACGGCTGCGGCGAGGTGTTCCGTGCAGGTGAGTGCACTTACAACTGTGCCACCGATTGTGGCATACTTTGTGGCGGCCACTGTAAATAGCATCTATATACATATAAGCGTGATATATATATAGACTAAGTAGAGTATTATGAGCGGCTGCAACCCGTTTTTGGTGGGAGGCTCGGGAGAGAAATGACATTTTTGTGTGCCAAATTAATTGCACTCTCAGGGCAATTTGTTGCCAACGGGCGACACATTCCATAAATCGCCAATGTGCGCGGCCATCTGAACGTAAATAACAGGCGCGCATACCCTGTAGAGGAGTTGCTATGCGGGGTATGATGTGCTAGCGTTAGCACCAGTGGCAAGTGGGAAGCAACTAAGAGCTAATTAGGATCACTTTGAAGAGCTTTTAAATTATTAAAGCACATTAAACTTGTAAGCGAAGACTACGTGGCATATGTAAAGCTTTGAATACATAATGTATAAGCTTTTAAAAATATTTGAAAATATTATTGTTAGAAATTCTTTAAAATCCAATTGAAATATTTGATTTGTGTGGATAATCGCTAAATATTTCTTGTCAATATATGAGACCTGGACAATCTAATCGCAGTGCAAAGCTCTCTTAATCTTCAGAGAAAGCTTGGAGAATTCGTTTGTTTACTTAATGTTAACTCAAAGTTTAATTTCTATTCCCAAGAATTTTCTTATAGTTTCTTAAAGCTCTCTTTGAGTTTACCCCAAATGAGAATGTTTACCTGTTTGTATGCTTAGTGGTAGGCTCTACAGGCTCTAATGCTTATGACAGAGTGTTACTAGGTAAAGATAATATCATAATCAGCTAAAACTCCACAGCTGCAACTAGATTATGCATGCACATATATTAATATCTGATAAAGCCTGTCTCGCCTAGTAATTGATTTGTGTCAATATTTGCTCTGCACTCGTATATAGGGTATATTTGTAGTCGTGTTATCTTGGGCTAAACGCTCCACTAATGAACCTGCTACAGTTGAGTGCGTGCAGTGTGCGCTGCCTGAGGCCCCGTTGTCGTAAATGTCCGATATCTGTTTTCATTATACGTTGACTTAACTGCAATTTGTGTCCAAGTTTTCGTGCTCGAGATGCTCGAGACATAAGTCGAACCGAGTCGAGGCGAGTTGCGTCGAGTTGAGTTGCGTCGACTGCAAGTTCATTGCCAGCTGCCCACGCTCCGCAGAGCCCCGCAATCCAAAAGCAGCTGTGCGACAGGCCCTGAACCCGAACTTGCGCAGGTGCATGACATTGTTTTCATTATTGCTGGGCGGGCGGGAGGTGAGAAGGCTAACAAAAAGGTGTTAAATGTGACAAGCGCTCCAGTTGTTTGTGCCCCACTCAAAGTCAAAACAAATACGTTTCAGTTAAGAAAAGGTCTTATTCATATTATATATTTAAGTGCGGCTGCTCCGATAAACAAAACGAAACGTTTCCCATATCAATCAGGTGCTAAAGCCCAGTTAAAGCCACTGCCAAAAATGGCATTTCACTTGAGAGTACATTGTTGACATTGCCAATTGCGAGACCTGGCTGATAAATATCTACCGAGATCAATGTCAGCAAGGCAAAGCCCACACAGCCACAGCCTCAGCCTCAGCCACTGCCAATTGCAATGACATTTCATAAATATCTTCACCTGTATTTAAATATTTACATCTTTATTTATTTGCATCTCTGCCTTCTGTTTGCCAAAGGTGCCTCGTTTGCTTTGCCTATTCAGGCGTTAGCTAATTGTCTAATCAAATGTATATTAGATATTTGTTAATTTGCCAATTTCTGTTGTGGACAGATCTTAATGTGCAGCCACTTTATACAGTGGAATCGCATCGAATTCGGGTATATTTGTTTTGTTCAACTGAAGTGTGGGGATAGAAAGCGTTTCAAAAACTATTAAGTTGAGCTATTAAATAATTCATTTAGACTTGGTGTCTATTCATACAAAATTTTCTCTGCCTATTCGTCCATCAATATACATATATGTATTTATTTATATATATTCATCATCATTCATCCCGGAGGTGGTATGCACTTGGGAAACTCTTCGTTTAGGCAGTTCCTTCTTTACTCAGACCTTAAGCTATGGTCTAGCTTCGCTTGCTCTAGCTAGCTTCTTCTTCCTATAGCAGATTCTTATTCTTACAAATTATCGATTATTATCGATAGCGAATTTCAGTTAGTCCGGCATTTCTTACCCGTATATAGCCATTAGATATCTTATATAGTTTCATTTCGGTCATATTCATACTTAAATTTTGAGTTCATTCCTCAATGACATGTGCCTCAGGGATATATGCTAGTCGTACACTCCCCATCTAGGCACTCTAAGTCGATAATTGTCAAGTCTATGTCACAAATTGTTTAGATTGCAACGCCCACTCAATCAAACAAGTCTGTGGTGTTATGGTGTTTTATATTGATGAATATACTTATTTATATCTATGTATATATCTTATATACATACACACATATCTGATATACATATTTATATTTACGCATAATCACAGATCGGCCATGTCATCTATATTAATTCATGGCAAATTGTGTAGCATACATGTGTTTCATAGAGCATATGTTCTCTGACTCATCAGATATTTGCTTTTATTTGTTTATACTTTCATATAGAATTCATATTTAAATTTTCATCTGTTTTTTTGGTAATGAAACTTGTTTTTTTTTTTCGTTGTATATTTTTTGTTGTTGTCTTCGCATGATTTGTGGCTTTTAAATAGCTTTTGGCTGAGCGCGTTGAGGAATTATTATTGAAGATCGTTGATAAGCGTGTGGAATTAAATTAATGTGTTTTATATAGCCATTGTTTTTATTTGATGAGAAGAAAAACGGTGTCTAGGATTTTTGAATTATTTGCTGAACTGACAGAAATTTGGTCGAATTAAAGTGATTATAGATTTGAATTACAATTTGAAAGGGATTTTACTAAGATGATATTATTTTAGTCGGAATACATATATAGAAAATGAGAATGTGTTTATATGAAATTTAAATTTTTCAATGCCAAGCAGGATTAATATATACACAAGTAAATATATACAATGGCCTGTTTATAAATACCCTTTAAGACTACTTAAGAGTTGGTTTAAATATCATCTCTCGCTGACTACAATATGGAAGAGTATCAGATCTCTTTCATAACCCATCTCAGCTAGCTTTACAGGGTATATCGCTCCTGTAATCTATCAAAGTATTTAAGAAATTTATATCTATTAATTGAGTGAACTTTATTGAGTCAAAATTTGAGTGCATTTTCTCTAGTTAGGAACTCTATGCAACTCTACTCTAGGTGTAGTCCCCTCTGCTCTCTCTCTCTCTGTCTCGCTCTACTCTTGCAGCTGCACTTGAAGCAACTCGACTCCAGCTGCTGCTGCCTCTGCTGCACTTGCAGTCATTTGCCGTTCGATTGCCTAATTGCTTAATTGCTTGCAGATAAAGACAAAGTGTGTGTAGTAGATCGAATTTAATTGCAGCTCAATTGATTGAAAAATATATATCGCATATATCGCATGCTGGTAGAGCTGAACAGGAGCCCACGCATGTAGCTCCAACATTTCCGTCCGGGCCAAACAATTAAACAGCGGGCAAAATAACAAATAAATAATAAATGTCAGCCGTAAATGGAGAAAGGCCTTTAGGGCTCTGTCTGCCTGTCTGACTATAAATGGGGGCATGTGTTATGCACGCAATTTCCCACTTGGGCGGCCATTTGAAAGTGGCAGCAACAGTTGACAATTTCCATATCGCATTACCTGATTGTGGCTGCTGCAGCTTCCCACATGCAGACGACGCTGGCTTGGCTGCTTGGCTGCTTGGCTGGCTTCCTCGATCGTGTGGCTAGCCTCGGTCGGTGGGGCGTGGCCGCATTGTCAGGGGCATTGGCAAGGCACTTGGCGAGCATCTGCATAACATTTAAGCTGGTCAGTCMAGATGGGACGACTCGAGACGAGACGAGTGGAGATGAGGCGAGGCGTGGCGGGGCGAGTCGAGTCAAGTCAGTCAATCACACTGTCAATCAGCTGCAACCAGTTTCCGCCTGTCAAAATAGTTCATAATTGAGCCTAAATGTCACGTTGCAGTCAGCCTTCGGTCGATCTGTTCCACTCGAACGCAATGCAACTCGAACTTCGGGCGAACACAACTCGGCGACAAACTCACCACAGCTCGGCGCGAAACTCACCACGGCTGGCTGGGTTTGTTTACGTTGAGGCGTTTTGTTTATGGCGCTCGTTCTCAGTCTCAAAACGGCTTTCAGAGCGCTTTGGCCAGTGCCGCGGACGTAACTGAGTGTTAACTGTAGTAATTGAGTCGAGGCAACGTGTTGCATGTCCACAAACAATTGCCATAAACAGATCTGCTATTAAAAGTATTTACAACGTGAATTACAACAAAAGAAAAAAGTATTTTTGCACCTTACCGAATTGTTTAAAGGAAATGTTCTTGTAAACATTTCCACTGCAGCTGCCAGCAGAGTCATAAACTTGCAACAGATATTGAACACGCCGTGGCACGTTGCGTATGCGCAATATTTCCACAACCCACACGCACTTGGCGACAGATAGTTGAGCCGAGGTTTGACAGGCATTGCATAATATTGTAATATCGCTAGGTGCCAATAAATTATCAATTTTCATATGTGCATGAAACGAGCCAGACTTAGCTGGAGTCCAATTGGATTCCGCTTAGAAATTGCATACCAAAACCGGAAACGAATTTGAGCTGTTTTTTGGGCTGCATTTAAAAAATGTGGCGATAGCATCGACGTGTGCTACATTTAAAGAGCCAAATGGAAAACATGAAAAGCAGCAACACACATACAGACAGACACACACACACACACCAACGCCGACAACAACAGCAACAATCAGCATGAATATGCACGCAAAGAGTCAGGTCGAAGCCCACTTGAGCTGGCATTTCTTTTTTTTTATTGTTGGCACTGCAATTGAATGCCAATTGAAATGAAATCGAAATCAAAATCAAAATCAAAATCAAGAAATGAAATCGCATTGAAATTATGACGAAAGCCTCAACTTAATTAATTGAAGAGCAAAGCCATATGAGGCTAGGTAGCTGACCCAATAAAAGAAGACGTTCGCTGCCAGAGCCCTAGATCAAGTGTTTACATCATTCAGACAGATATATATATATACATACATATACGTATATATATATATATATATATTTGTGGCATATGTACGTAAGAGGTGCTTAGGCAAATGAATTGAATGTCATTTGTCTGTTTGGCTTATCAGACAAGCCGCAAAGCAACCAACAACAACAACAACAACAGCAATAAATTTCAATTTCAGCTTCAATTTGAATTTCTCTTTTCTGTTTGGTTTTTTATTTTTTGGCTGACAAAAACTAATAAATCTCTTATAGTTTGCTTCTCTCCCTCTCTCTTGTTTGCCCTGCAGCCGTTGACTTTTGTGCAGGCGGGTCAAATGGCTAAACAAAGAGACATCTTTGACAGTCTTGAGCGAGATCAGATCGTGATATTGTCATGTTTAGCCAGCTTAAAGACATTGCCAAAGGTCAGCGGGAAGTGTTTTGTCTCATTGCATATAGGTTGGCCAGAGCGGAGCGCTAATTGAGCTACTTGGCTATTAATTTGATTGAGTTTTATTTGAGCATAAATTCAGCTTTTTTGATAGTATAGTAGAGTTGCCAGAGTTTTAGAGGAAAAAGTTCTATAAATATTGATGGTTTACATATGGGTTTTAGTTCTCAAATTAAAATTTGTATATACATATATATATATATTTGTATCTATTTTAAATGCATCTATCCTAAATACTCATCTAATACGATTTGAATTTGAGTTTAGTTGACTCTAGCTGGAGTTGCCAGACTTTAGCTTAGACAACTACCAGGCCTTGGTTCAGATTTCGATTAGGATAAATGATAAATGATACATGAAATTATATATTAAATATATTTCAACAATTTTACGCCTTGATGGGAATTTCAGTTCAAACAGCGCTGCCAGACTTTAGCTTAAATTCTTTACTTTGTTCAGCTAAAATATAGATTTTAGTTAGTAACTGACATTTAGTCATTAAACACTGTAACTGACTTGTATTCCTCCTCTAATACCGCATTTACATTCTAGCAGAGTTGCCAGAATTTAAAAACTTGCATTTTCCCATTTTTTTATATTGATTTTAAATATTGTTTTTAATTAGTAACTGACATCCCATAGTAAATTACTCTTGCTTAAAGTCACTCTTCAATAACTTCTCCGTCATTTAACCATGAATTGGCCATAAATTTCCAAACAGAGTTGCCAGATCTGCGCATAAAAACTCCATTAGACATTTATTGGCTTTAAAGCGTTAACCGCCCGTTAACTGCATAAGCAACGGACAAATTGTGAGCACAAATTGGAGTAAACGTAATTTGAATGCTCGACCGCCCGCAATGTCAGCTCCATAGCAAAAAGAAAGAAAGAGAAAAAAAAAAAAACAATCGAATTTTTAGCTGAGCTCTGAGAAAAATTTATTGCTTATATATGCAGAACGCGTTTTCGTGCGACACTTTCCATTTCGGTTTGGCCACGTAATCCCCGAGCAGTGTCTCAAGCCGGCAATCAATCAATCAGTCAGTCAATCGCCAGAGCTGTGCTCCGACTGTCTCTAGGCTATAGCTGAAGCATTTCAATGTCGCCTCCTCCGATCCGCACTTGACCTCAGCGCGTCGATTGGCGGCGTCTCTACATGTTTTATTGTTGTTGTTGTTGTTCTTGCTGTTGTTGTTATGGTGGGCGTTTTGTGTGGCAAGTCGTGGGCGAAATCTTTGGCGCTTTGGCGAATCGACTCGACTTCAATTAGTTATAATTATTTATGTTTGTTGAGGAAACCCAACGAATGCGATTCGCTGTGGTTTGGTAATCCAAGCTGTGCCACCTAAATTCTTAGCCAGAGCTTAATTACCTGACCAAAAACACACACACACACATATATATATATATATATATTGTATATTTAGATAGTTCTATATAAATGTATATATGACTGAATTTCCTGTGGGGCAAAAAAGTTTTGACTATTTTTTTTTTTGTCAATTTCCTGCCTCGATTTGCGCACGCGCTCAGCCAATTTCCAAGCAATTTATTTGTTATTGTTTTGTTGTTGTTGTTGCTTTTTAGTTTTGTAAAAAGTTAATTATTTAATGATTTATGAAAGGCAGCGCCGTCGTCGTCGTCGTCGTCGTCGTCGTCGTCATTTGCTGTTTTGTTATTTATAAACATTCTCTAAGTTTTAATGAAACTTGTTGCTTAGCCAGCCAAATTTTTTGTTGGATGTGATGTCATTGCCTTGAAGCTGGAGACTCGACGTCGCCAAATTTGCGCGCTGAGAGCTGGCAGATTGCTAAAATTTATAGAGTATATTGTTAGAGTATCTCGGTCGGTTGGCCGTAGCTCGAGCTGCGATCAGCTGACCCAGTTAACAAGTAGTCGATGGCATCTCAGATGGCTTAGACGCGGTGACTCTGTGTTTCAGCCAAGTCGTGACTTATTAGGCCAGTTGCAAGTAGCTGGCTCTGTTGGCAGCGGCTCGATCTGCATTTAAGTAACCCACTCACATTCACACTCACACTCACACTCGCACACTCAGTTGGTAGCTGTCAATCATGACTGACGTTGATGTGCTGAGCTCGCGCATGAAGTCGCGTCTGCATTTGCAAACCAAAACCATTGGCGCCGATCGCATTAAGAAGGCCAAGGATAACAACGAGGACATTGCCGTGCTGAGCATGTTTCTGCCCAATGCCAGCGCCGTCGAGGAGAATCGCAGCTTCTATTGCTCATTGGGCGACTACTGCCGCCTGGGCGATCCCCGTGCCACCAAAGCAGGTAATGATGGACCCGCAAGCTGCTCATAAATTAACTATGTTAATTAAATCCCGCGATACATCATAATTTATCAATATTACTGGCCATTAAATGGCCCGAATGCTGACCAAACTGGTAAAAGTCACAAAAAAAAATTTAAAAAAAAAAAACTAAATAAAATATGTAGATATAGACGCCCCCATGGATTAGGTTGAGGTGTTTGTAGCCAGCTCTCTATAACGTCATCGTCAGATCTGCTTCGTGTCTGCGATGAGTAATTGGAAGTCCAAAAATATACACTGAGAGAAAATTGCTGCGATTAGGCGGTCATTGATCGTGTTTAATAATTTATTCTAATTGGGAAATTGTTTAATTTGTGCCACGCTTTATTATAAATTTACGACAAATGAGTTTTTGATAATAATCTGCTTGAATTGGGATTATCCAAAACCAATTGGCTTTAAGGCGTTTAGCTAGATTTTGCTTGGCACGATAGATGAATGGAAAATATAATTAATTTTAAATAAAATTCTATAAATAGCAGACTATTTATATATACT